CAGCCATGGTTACACAGTATGTTTGCAAAATATATACTTATACAAGAACACTTTTGCATTATGTTCACTATAGATCCTAAAACTTATGAATAAAGAGCTTCTAAAACAATGGCACCATAATATTTATTGCAGTTATTATTGTGAAGGTACATTACATTAACAGAGTGCTGTCTACCCCAGGTCACTGCCACTCAGGTCAAGAAGACATTGTACATCTTCCTAGTCAATACAATCTCTCATACTACTTTCTATAGAGGTAAACACTATTCTGATTTCTGTCTCTGCATATTAGTTTTATCTGCTCTGAAATCTCCTATATTATTCCATATATTTAGTTTGGCACTTAGTTTCACTAGATATTGCCAGACAGTTTTCCAAAGTGGTTGTATTAATTTAAGCTCTTACCAGCAATGTATGAGAGTCTTAGTTGTTCAACTATTATAGTTTTCTTTTCGACCTTTTGAGAGCTTTTAATTCCCAACATAGTTCTTAAAGTATAAGGAGATTATGACTTTGTGAACTGAAGTAGCAATTATTTTTCATAATTGTAGTTCATGTGACATTGTTTTAAAAAAGAAGTTTGGTTCACTTTACTTTGATTAAAGTATGTGAGAAGAATAGAAGTTTGGGTATAGTCATTTCATAAGCTTAGGTGGTAATGTCATATGAAAGCTAAATACAGTTTTTAAGCTAACGATTTTACTAAATTGCAGTCAGACTTTGAGAGCTGACAATAAGAATAACCTCTCTTTCTTTTTCTCTCCCCATTTATACCATCCCATTGACTTCACCTTGATAAGTGAAACAAAAGTGTTGATGGAATAAAGAAAAATGAGAATTTATTACTTTTAAAATTGTGCAAAATTTGTCACTGAAATATGGATATCTCTGAGGTTCAAAATGGTGCATAATCCAAAAATAATTTGAAATGTATTATGTACATACATTTGGATAAGAATATAAGTGATTAAAAAATCACCGCACTAAGATTCTAAATGAAGTAGCCAAGCCAAACTCTGGTGATCATGATTCAGATGTATTAAAGCCTGATTCAAGAGCAAGTGGAAAGTGATTTCTAGTTATCTTGTCTTACTCTTTGCCCTACTTGTTTGGAAAAAATTCACCCTTCTCATTGCAGTCCAACTCTAATCAAAATCACAGTGAAGATGTCAAAGATGACCGCATGCAACCCATATGTCAACATGCTTTTTACTTTTTATAAATATACTTTTTATAAATATACAAAATATATTTTGTAATTTGTTTTTTTATCTAAGTTCAGTGAAGATACTGAATATTTTCGTTTAAATATTTCCTACTGGGTTTTATGTATAAGACATAGTTAAAATATATATAAAGTAAGGCAGATAGTTTTAGGACTTTGGGCTTGGATAATATTAATATTATTTTCAAATTTTAAGTAATTTAATAGTCCAGAACTCAGTGGCATAGAGTACCTAGTAAAATTAAGTAAAATATCAAATAGACAATTAGCTAACAAATGTAGTTCATTTTTTAATCATAACAAAATTTGTGGCAGGAGTCAAGTGATTCAAGGATTCTACTATTTCAGGGGAAGTTTCGTCCCTCCATTGTTTGCTGTCAGACTTATTTTCATGAGTTTCTCAACATGTGGATGTTTTTATAACTAGTAACTCAGCTTCATTGATGGTGTATGGTTAATAATTTTTATAGTTTTCTATGAAAAACAAAAGACAGCCAAAATCTAAGAATTCACAAAAGTATCTCAATTATCCGTTGTCTTGTATTCTTAGAAAATGACATATCTAAGGGCAGTAATTATATTTCACAGATGGTACTTATTCCACGTTGGAAACAAATGGGAAAAAAAGAAAAGAAAAAGAGTATATCAACTCATTCTCATGTACTGAACTAGGTGTTCCTAAATATTAAATGACACCCAGAAAGTATTAAATGGTTTTTGAAAACCGTGCTATATTTTTAGACTGACCAGGACCATTATATATGCTTTCATGATAGAATATGATTCATATTTCAAGATGTAAGTCTTAGGCATCATTTTTTATGTTCAGAAGTGAACAGAAGACAATACATTAAAATAAAACATTCACTTTGAAAAATCACCTTATTGTCCAAAATCATTGGAGTAAAATAGACATTTAACAGAGAGATTATATTTAAAGGGGCATTTTTTTTTTTTTGCGAGGGAGAAAGAATTCTAATCAGTACGTAGGATTCACTAAAACCTGAATCTCTTGTGATTATTACCTATGGTAGTCATATTTTTAAAAATGTGATTTATTCATATTATAGCTACATACTGGGGAAAGATGATGGTAATGGTGGCAGCAACTGTGTTTTAGACATCAAAAAAAGCAATATGACCCTATCTATAGATGAGTTAATCCAAAAGTGTTGAATCATATGAACTGAATTGAAAGAACAATTTGGAAAGAAAATAAAACAGTAAAATATGAAGGTCAAAATTCTAACCATAGTATTTACTGAGTGGTTGAGAAAGATTTTAAGAAATTTGCGCCCTCCAGTGGTTGTTTTGGAATGAATTATTATCATTATTTTGTAATTTTAAATTTTACCTGGGCTCTCCATTTTCCAGCTCCATTGTTTTTGGTAACCCAGGAAAGTTTACCTTGTCTATACCTAGGAGGAGCCTTGGGAGACCAACTCAATTTGATTACTCAGTTTTATGCTTGCAGAAAGAATAAGGCCAATAATGATAAGAGTGCCTAGTATATGATGATGAAGTTTAGGCTCAACAAGATAGGTTCACAAAAGGGCAATCATGCTTGATTTATCTGATTGCCAGACTGGAAATGAAAGAAAAGCAGTGACATAATTACCCCAGATTCCTCAGGCCTCAAATAAAATCCAGCACAGATATTTGCAAAAGTCTTCAGAATGATTGCAATGCATTTTAAAGAAGGATATCACTGCTTTAGCAAATCAAAGACAAAGGATGTTTCTGGAATCTGTGTTGCTTGCAAATGGAACAAAAGAGAGCAGGGAAAGAAAGTCACTTGGTGAAAGAAGAAAAGCAGAGGACCGAGTCAGGAAACGCTGTGGGTACCTGTTTTGTGAGCTTGGTCATATTCTTTGAGCCTCAGCTTTCTCACCTATGAAACAAAGGATGTGGACTAGGCCAAGTGGTTTCCATGAAGCCAGTGTTTGGACAGAGTCAAGGGGTAGCAGAATTGATCTCATACAAAAAAACTGTAATTTAAATATTTGTGAAAGCAAAATTAGCTAGTGATTAAAAAACTGGGCAGAAAGGTGGCTCAAGGAGAATGCAAATTTATCTTAATGAATTCAAAATACAGTGTAAAACTGATGGAGCTGATCCTTTCAAGAAGGAAAATAAAAGCAGCATATCATCTTTTTCTCAATTTCCTTCCCTATAGTCTCATTCTCCTCTCTCTGCCATCATATTTTTTTTTTTGACTTTCTGTTTCCGGTAACCATGGTGATGTTTCTTCCCAGCAACCTTCTTCACAGCTGGCCTTTTTGGTTCTCATCGAATTCTGCTCCATTCACTGGTTCAGGTTGCTAACAATGCTGGGTAAAAATTAATTTATTTATTGACATTCTTCTCCTTCCCTTTTCGCCAGGAAATAAATGCAGGGAATCATTCCACACTTAACCTCCCTACACAAGGTGCACTGTAAAGCAGGGATGTTCAACTGCTAATTTCAGTTGCTAACATGGAGGTTATACAGATGATGCCAAAGATTGAATTCTCTGCCTGGGCCCTCAGGGACTGAGAGTCCCAGGACCAAGCTGGTTGCCACCTTCTTTTGCTTTTGTATGTAAATAGAATGAAATAGATTGCCCCCAGACATCACATATTGGCTCTGGTTTTCTAATTCTCTTTGCGGCTTTTTTTTTTTCCTTTTTCTCTTGTGAGGAAAACATGGCCAAGGGAATAATTATAACGGTTAAAAGGATATTGAATTTTCTGTAGGAAAATATACGTAAATATATGCATTTCTTTAATGAGCACAGTGATTTTGGAATATAAATAAGCTATATACGATAGTTTAAAAATATTGTAATTATCTGCCAATGACAAAACATCAAAAAATCTCTGATGTCCTTAATGCAGATAATAAAATTTCCCATAAACTAGTACTTAGTTACGTCCAGTTTGTGTAGCTTAACTTGTTTGTAATCCTATATGGCTGAAAACTGTTTCTCTGTTTAAGCTCTGCGCGCGCGCGCGTGCGTGTGTGTGTGTGTGTGTGTGTGTGTGTGTCTGGCATTAACACAAAGGAGACCAGATGATGACATTCATAGGCTGATAGACTCGACTCCTGGGGACACACTTGGATGGAGGCAATTAAAATGCCTGTCAGGCATTTGGTACCAGAAGCCCCTATGGCAAACCGCTAAAACGTAAGTGAGGGCAGCATCCTATTGTCAGTGAATGATGGCGGAGCTGAGTGGCTTGTCATCATTCTGGAAAATTCTGAGGCTAGTGAGCTCTTTCCCTCTCTCCCACTCGCCTTATTTTCCTGTTCGCCACTGCGGGGACTTTTTCTAATTTGCAGCTTCCCTTTCCCCGGCACACACAGACACGAGCTGGTGGCTTGCAGACTGCGTCTGTCTAGAGCTAGAGAGCCAGAGAGCCAGCCTGTGGGGATAATGCTCCCGGAGAAGGATTCTGCAGCAGTTCTCAAAGGCTAGACTTGAGTGGTGTTGCTGCATATGTGCTGGTAATGGTTCGGGGCTTTTAATTTTATTTTGTTTCATTTTTAATCCGTTATTCAAAGGATGTGCTTTATGTAATCTCAGAGTAAAAATGTTTTAAAATTTATTTTTGAGCTTCCTAAATATTCAAGTACTGCATTTTTTTGTACTACAGATCTCCATGCATAGATTTATCATTTGAATATAAAAAATGCATTTGCTTAATGGTGAGTTATAATTTTTGATATTTAGTTAACAAATTCATATATATATATATATATATATGTATATATTCTTTTGTTTTGTTTCGGTAGATTCTTCAGCTTGTTGTCCCTAACCGAGGAAGCATTGATTGGGAACTACTCATTCAGAAAATTAAAAGGTACCACATGGTTTGTTTGGATCTTTTAATGAGGGAAAATCTGGGGAGAATTGGAATATTTTCTTTAAATTAATTTTTCTACAATTGGTCTTTTATCCTTAAGCTTAAGTTGATCATTGTCTATTGCATATACCATTTTCTATGCAGATACTTCCATTATCTAAGGTTGTTTTGATTAGACAATGACTAAAGAATTGTGTCTTTTGCCTATGTTGCAAGTTATTAACAAATATCAACATGTTTAGCTTATTTGGAGATTTTATAACAGTTTTTTTTTAAGTCCAAAATTCTCCATCTAAATGAAAATTCATTAATTTGAATTTAAGAGAAATATGCTAAGTAATGATTTTATCTGAACAAATCCTGCTGATGAGTGATTTATTAAAATGGTTAAATGAAATGGCTTGCCCTTCCCAGGTAGAGTGGGTGCTAGAGACGAAAGCCCAGGAATGACTCAGTATTGTTGGCTTTACGAATAAAATATTGTAACTTCTTTATTGATGTTTTAGTTTTTAACAAGGGATATATTTAAAAGCTGAGGTTGTTAGTTTTTAAAAGAACTTATTTTACATATGCTTTATTTGAAATTGACGGCATAAGAAAGCAATCCTTCATCTTGCCATGAATGCACTTGAATCCATTTGATCTGGGCCTCATGCCTTACATGAAAAATATTAATTTTGAAATTCAGCATCAGGATATATATTGATTTCAGATGGCAATTATGGATATTACCTTTTCCTTAAGACCGTCTTTGATGTTAACACCTATTCAAGTCAATAAAACCTATATTTGTAATTTGCCTTTAAAAAATGGAAGACATTTTCTGCCTTACTGGGAAGATCAGTAATATCTTTTAAGCCTTTCCTTGGGATCAATGTATAATATTTCCTCTCAAGACTGTCAGTTCAAAGCATTTTCTGTAATAAGTTTAGTTTTAAAAATTATATGCCTGAAAATAGTTAATGTTCAACTACTGACCCTGAAATATTATGTGAGTGTATACCTGTGAATGTGAATATTTATAGCAGGTGAAGGAGAGTAATACATTGTCCTTTGTTAATATTCTCTGCAATGTGTAATCACGAGAACCTTAATTTATTCATTTCACAAGCACTTCTTAAGAGCCTTGCTGCTGTGGGTAGTTACTGTGGGAGAGAGGGAAGGGGTAGATGACATTGTCCTCAGCCTTCTAGAGTGTAGGCAGCGTCACATAAAGATTTTCGAACAGGAAAATGAATGCGTTAAAATAAATCAGTGTGTTCTAAGACAGGAAATTGCATTATTTCAGACTGTGAACAAAAGCTAATACTAGTCTTGGAGACACATAAAATTATATTGCACTTCTTCCTCAGAAATTACTCAGTGGAATTATGTATGAAATCCTCCAAACAGGATTATTTCTCCTGGATATTGTTAAACCCTTGAGACCATTCTCTCTTTTTATATTTCATTCAAAGTAAGTGAAAATATTTATGTTTGGTGGAAAAAAAAATCTATTCAGTATTTTTCCATCTAATTAAATCTGGAGAGCATATATTTCACATGAAGATCTATTTTCTAATCTTCATTTTCATTCAGCAACTCATTATATTAATTTTGAACTTTAGGGTATGTGTATGAATTGGAAAAAGGGGAAATTATTTAACTACTAAAAAATGACTTCAATGCATTGTCAATAGGAACTAATAAGTTCTGTTATGATTTGTTTCGATATTGGAGAAGGGGCATACAACCTCACTAACAGGCCTCTGGCATCTAAATTTTGTAGGACCTGTTAAAAATTCATCTAGTGGTAGACTGACAAAGTACGTATAATAAAAAAGGAGTTTATTAAAAGAGTAGATTGGTGGTCAAATCAGAACACAATTTGACTATTGGAGTCTAAGAAAATCAGGGCCCTATATCATGGTTTTTCTAGTCAATATTGTGATGAGTTAATTACTTTACTGATTTCACTCATATTTTTTTTTCACTTATGTTTTTAACATGTAGCATAGTGCCTGGGTCACAGTAGGAAATCAATAAGTGTTTATTTAATTTGTCAGCATTTTCCCCCATTACTTTTTTGTTCTTGCCTTTCATAAGATTATACACTGTGAAACAGACATCTGGCCATTTTTTTTTTTAGTTACCCAAAATATTCATTACATGTTTCTAAAAAATAATAATTAGATTATTAATACTGGATAGAAAAGTGACAAATCATGCATAGAAATTTTTTTAGGCTGTATGGAAAAGGGTTTTTCTGGTTTTAGATTAAAATGTGAAGAATTCTTCAAATGTCCCCGTTCACGTTCATCAGCTGGGGGAAATAAGCCAAACTGCAGCCTGAGCTTTGCTTATGGACGCTTCCTAAATACTACTCCCAGGCTTGACATTGTTTATTGCTTTTCATGTCTTTGGCCAAGATTTTGCTGCAGCAAAGGGGAGGAGGCCTTTTGCCCCATCCCTTCTCTATACATGTAATATGAGAAATGATGTCATACTTACTAGTCCATAATGAGCAACAAAGCATATAAGGATAGATGGATGGATGGATGAATAGATAGATAGATAGATAGATAGACAGATGGATAGATAGAATCTTTTCTATATATTTAAGGAATCTATCAAGAAACTTTTAGAATCATATGGCTTTAGAGAATGCTATTCTTTCTTGCTGTCATTTATTTTCATTAATAAAAATAAATTTTTTTATTATTAACTGTGTGCCAGACAATATCCTAAATTCTTAACATATATTATCCCCTTTAGCTCTCCCTATAATCCTGGGAGATAGGTAGGGTCTCCATTTTATTTAAGTGAATTGAGAGTACAGTTGGACAAACTCAAGCCTGGCCCCCAAGTCCTGCATATTAAACACTAAATTTTACCACATTTTTTTATAGCAGATTTTTGGTACCTAGTCATTGTCTTAATGTTCCATGCAATAAGGTTAAAACAGTATACTTGTAAATATCTTGATTTATCTGCAACTATAAATCAAAATATCCATATCTATCTGCCTGTCTGTCTATCTATCTATCTATCTGTCTGTCTGTCATCTACATATGGTAGAAGTGAATATGTCTTCAAATACTTAACTAATATTCAATCTGTATTGTATTTTAATTTTTTATATATTTTAAATTTAACTTGAAGAAGTTTATTCTTTAAGGATGAATGTCAAAGATAAATTAGGAAGTTTTAAAATAAATTCATTCATAAAGCATTTTCCATGTCATTATAGTGACGTGTTATTTTGAATTGCATAATCTATATAAGAAAATTAGCCAGAGAATCCAAGTGCTAAATAGCATAACTGATGTCATAACTTGCAAGGTTTTGGGTTTTTTTTTTTTTTTTCCTTTTTAAAATGAAATAATGGCATAAGAATGTTCAAATGGCCAAAATAAATCAACAAGCAGGCAACAGGGCCATGGACAAAGTAAAGCTACCAATTCAACCTCAAGGGTAACTAAGTCAGAAAAATCACTGAAGCTACTAACAATTACACAAATATGTATTAAGATTCTCTACTTGCAAGTATTACAGGAGAACACTTCCGGATCTCAGTTGGAGTCAGCAAAATAAGATGAGGAAGTAGTACCAAGGCATATTGGTACCATAATAAAGACATAAATAATTTTTTTTTCAGATTTTATTTTAGGGAGTACATGCAGGTTTGTTACCTGGGTATATTGTGTGATACTGAGGTTTGGGGTATGAATGATCCTGTCACTCAGGTACTGAGTGTAGTACTCAATAGTTCATTTTCAACTCTTCTGTCTTCCTTCCTTCTGCCCTTTAGCAGTCCCCAGTGTCTATTGTTACCATCTTTATGTCCACAAGTGCCCAATGTTTAGCTCCCACTTATAAATGAGAACATGCGGTATTTGGTTTTCTGTTCCTGCCTTAATTTGCTTAGGATAATGGGTCCAGCTGCATCCACGTTGCTGCAAAGGACATGATTTAATTCTTTTTATGACTGTGTAGTATTCCATGGTGTATATGTACCATATTAAGGATAATTTATTAAGGAACGTCATTACAGGGCATTCTAATCATTGGAATAGGATTCAACAGGATATACTTCATAGATCATGTGTGTTTTGAGGCAGAACTTAGGGATGAATAGAAGTATTCAACGGGGAGACAACGTATGGAGGAGCTGCAGAAAGAACAAACATTAGCAAAGGAATCCAAGGAAGTGAACATGCTTGGAAAGCACAGACTGATCTCATTTATATTCTAGATATAAAGCAGAAAAACAGGACTCTTAGAATATAAAGTGGCATCATATTAAATGGCTAATATTCATTGTTTTTGAAACAAAATTTAATTTCATTCAGTTCAACTTAATACATTGGAAGAGGACTTTAAATACCAGTCGAGGAGGTTTGTTTCTTATTCAGTGGGAAGCTATTGAATACTTTGAACAGAAAACTACTATGACCAAACTGTGTTTTCAGATGATTTATTTTATAGTTCTGTGCAAGCTAAGTCAGAATTGTGTGTGACAGCATGTTGAAGAAAGCATCACTTCAGAAGCTGTCATAGGATAATCCTAGGGGAAAACAAAAGTCCAAAGAACATATTGACGGTGGGCATGAAAAAGAGGTCATGATAATGAAAGATGCTTCTGAGCTCAAGTTCATATACAGAGTAGAACAACTGCTTGATTGGTAGGAGGAATAAACAGCAGAAGGACTCAAAGGTGTCTCTGACGTTTGAATTTGATAACTGGAAAAAGTAAAGGGAGAAAGTAGCTGAGAGCTATGCAAGGAAAAATCCTTCTTTTATTTGTATTGTATCTCTAGTCGCTAGCAGAATGCCTAGTACATAGTAGACAGCCAATAAATGCTAAATGAATGAGAGCGTGAATAAAAAATGAAAAGGTATGTTTAGGACATGAGGCTGGGTATGTGGGTGGACTGGGCTCGTAGATTGCAGAACATGCAGATCCAAAGCTGAGAAGGGAAGTTAGGGAGGGAGGCCGTGGGTGACATTAACAAGAA